CTCTAAATGTAGCTGTAGTAATTATAAAATATGTAAAAACAATACATTTAAAAGAAGGTTTGAATGAAATATACAAGTATGCATCATTGATAATGTTGGTTATTTATAAGTGATAGGCTTTATATTATTTGTATTTTCATCTTTATAATTTTAATGATAATTTTATTATAAAATGAGCATCATATATTTTTACAAAAATGTTAGTAGTATGTTATCAGCAGTTTCACTGAAAGTTAATTTCTAAGCTAGGAGGAAGATTGAATGGCTAGCTCTCATTCAGAGTCTTAGAGTTTTCTCTCCAAATCAATCTCTGGAAAAAGGATGAAGATGAAGGAGAGCACACACTGCTAACTGTGTGGCTCACTGAGGACCCCATGGGTACATGCTCTGTCACATGCTGTGGCTGGGAAGTCACATCTGAAAGCTGACTTCTGGATACCAGCTACTCAGCTGGCTGCCCTATGTCTGGCATTGACCTGCTGCCAATTCATGTCTGTCCATCTGGCAGGAATCATCAGAGAAATAGAAATATGTAGTCTCTGGTTAGTTCCCATGCTGAAACGTCCCTCTTATCTAATCAACTTTAGATGGGGTATCTGAGATGAAACAGTATCTCAGTGTGACTCTTGGGAGGCAGAGGCAATGCTCTGTCTTGTGATCAAAGACACAGGACACAAATCACATCCCTTCTGTTAATGGTGTAGTTTCCTCATTTTTTTTAGGCACGGTGGAATACATTTAGGTATTACACATAAATCTTACAGTGGTCTAAGACACAGAAATAGTGACTCTCCATGTTGAATTCTCCATAGCGTATTGTCAACACAGTTAAACATTTCCATACCACTTAGCAGCACCCCAAAATAGGAATTATTTAGTGTCTAAATAATGCAAATCAATTTTAATATGCAGCCTTAAAAACTACAAGCAAATTGAGTTGGAAAGTGTATCAGTACAGTTGAATGTTGTATATTCATTGTATAATATTCTTCATGCAGTATCATGATGAAATGAATCCATTCCCGTGGAACAGATTTCCTATATCTGAAAAGATTGTTAACATGGTATCTTTTTAAACACTGCATTAGTCAGCTTTCTCTAGTGGAACAGAATTGTTAGGATATGTGTATTATAAAAGGGGATTTGCTGGAATACCTCACACAATGTGAGGTAGGTAGTCCAACAATGACGAATTGCATGCTGGAGAGGCAGAGAACCTGGCAATTCCTCAGTTCACAAAGCTGGATGTCTCAGCAAGTTCCAAAGTGGCACTAAAGGCCTAGATGGTTTCTGGAGAGCTGTTGGCCTTCTGCCCACACTGAGTAGCCAAATGAATGGGTTCTGATACCAGGGAATGATGGAGGCAGCAACAGCAGCAACAAAGGACAGATGTGCTCTCTTGCAAGATGCAAAAGCAGACTAGCAAGCAGCACTGCTTTCTCCTCAGTCTTCACCTTGCATCTGGGTTGCTGGCGAAGGGTACCACCCACTCTGGGGACCATTTTTCCTTCTTAGTTAACCCCTGTAGATGCACTCTCATAGACTTGCCAAAGGTGTGCCTTGTAGTTTGTGGGGACCTAAAGGCCCCACCTTGCATAGGTCCGAAAGGAAGTTACTGGGGGCACAGCCTGGCTTGCTTTGAAAGTCTGAAGAATACTTCTGCACTGCTGAGGAGTGCATGATCAGCGCGTGACCATCCTTAAGATGCACCCTCGGGGGGAGGGGAGATTTCCAGGTGCCTTTATAAGCTTTGTAACACCTGCAATAAATGAGTCCCTGCTTGACTAGACTCCCCGTTGCGTCTGAGTGTCCCCCGGTAATGGGGGCGGCGTGGGCTGGTGAATGGCATGCTTACTCATCCCCAATCCTCACCTTGCCAGGGGTCATGGGTTCGAACCCCCGGCAGTAGTTGATTACACAGCCAATGAAACTGACAATCAAGATTGTGCATCACATGTATTGATTCCCTTCTAATATGCTATTCTGTAGTAGCAGGCAGGGATAAAGTTAACTTTTTAATAAATGTAACAGCATCATTTTCTGTATCAATCTGAGGACTAAGTTTAAGTGCATATCATACATCGTTAATATACTGTCAAAAAGAAAGAAATCTGCCTGCCGCCACAAGCAATCCAGACTTTTAAGTAGAATATATGAGACAAAGATAACTTCAAGGACTATTTAGGGGGCACTTTATATACTATTTCAAACAGTGATAACCAGGATGACTAACCATTTGAATATACTGCCTTTATGTGGTTTCTTGAAATAGGATTAATTCAGTGCTAAGATGAGGGTATATTCTTGGAAAATTAGGGACACATAATCACCCTTGTGTTCACACTGTAGCACAGAAATGCTCACGGGGTTGACTTTCGTACACAAGATTATCTGTTGGAACAAGGAATTGCTTGCACAGAATTTGAATGTTTTCTGACCTCAGATCTCCTTCTTGCTTTGCTCCTCTCCCTTCTTTTCCTTGCCTCTTCACACAACCCCTTTGGATCTCCCCAACTTAGGATCTCATATAGTACAGGCTGACCTAGAACTTCCTATATAGCCCAAAACAACCTTAAACTCCCGATCCTTCTGCATCTACCTCCCAAATGCTAGAATTCCAGTATTGCTCCACAACGCCCCACTACATTTCTTAATCATTTCTCCTGCCTGCCTTGATTTCCTCTGAAGTAACATTTAATTTGATCCTATTTTTGGTCAGTAAGAGTTATTCCAAGATGTTTCTGACAAGAAGACCCTTGAAAACCTTGAGAAAGAGTTAGAAGAAAATGACACTGACAAGTCAGAATTTGAAGAAGGCTCTGAAAAAATGTTGGCTGAGAGAATTGGATGAAGATTCAGATGAAGAGGAAGAAGAAGAAACCCATGAAAAGGTTTTTGATGATGAGTCTGATGAAAACGAGGACGGAGAAGATGCAGATGAAAAGGAAGACGGCACAGATGAGAAGCTCTTTGATGATTCAGATGTAAAGAAAGATGCCGATGCCGATGACAAGCTATTTGAAGGTAATTCCAATGAGAAATTGTTTGATGAGGAAGACAGTTCCAATGAGAAGTTGCTTGAAGATTCTGATGAAGGAATTTTGTGGAATGTGAAGGAAGATGGGTTTCAGTCCACAGACAGCAACTTTGTCCTCAGTAGTAGTGATGGTGATGATGATGATGATGATGATGATGAAATTGAATCTTTTGCACTCGCTTTTTAGGGAGAGCCCTACATCCCCACTTGCCTGTGCTTCACGGTCATTAGTAGTGTTACATGAAAACGTGCATCGTGGTAGGATGCCATCAGACTTATCCCTCGCAGGTTTCCATTTTCACCTGTACCTAAGGATTTTGAATATGTTCATTGGCTCTTCAGCCGGCGTGGTGGCACATGCCTGTAGTCCCAGCACTTGGGAAGCAGAGGCAGGCAGATCTCTGTGAGTTCAAGGCCAGCCTGGTCTACATAGTGAGTTCCAGGACAGCTGGGGCTACAGGGAGACCCTGCTTCAAAAAGACACACAAAAAAAGTTCATAGTTATAATGCAAGTAAACTGGATATGTGTCCTTTTGTCAGATTTGTTAAATGTATGCAAAAGAGGTATTAAATGTATGCAAAAGGTATTTGGAGGTTCTCCACTAATTACTGTCCCCAAAGTGCTATTGTTCCAGTGGTTCAGAGTCTCAAAATAAGGGTGTTCACCAACATGTGATCAACAAAATGTTGATATTTCACAAGTAATTAATTGCTAATCTTACAGAAAAAAGTATATTCACTGTTAAGTTTTGGAAGCAAGAGATTAGGCACATGAACACATGCTTTATAAAAAGATTTCCCTCATCTGGTATCCATCATGGATCAGCTGTATGAGCCACAGTGTTTCCTGGTGTACAGCTGTGGAAGGCTGCATCCAGCATGTCCAGGCATCACTTGCCACACAGGCACTGTGGACAACAGCCTGGATCACACTGCTCTGGAAGATCTAATAAGTGAACTGAGGAACTAGGACTTTTTGTTAAATTATGCAAGGTCTGAATCAGTAATGTATGTAACTCCAAGCAAAGTTTCCAAAATTTTCTTTATCTGGAAACATTTTATGGGATCAGTGTTCAGAGAAAAAAAACTTAGAGGAAATAACTTTGTCTTAATCTATTTCCTGTTGCTGAAACTGAGCACCACAAATGGGTAATTTATGAAGAGATGTTTAGTAGTTGGAGAGATGGTTCATCTGTTAAGAGTATTGGCTGCTCTTGCAGAGGACCTGGGTTTATTTCCCAGCACCCAACCTTTCATAACTCTTGTTCCAGGGGATGATATACCTTCTTCTGGCCTTTGCAGGCATTGCACACACATGGTGCACCTATGTTCATTCAGGCAGAACAACCATACACATAAAATAGATTAAAAAATTTTTAAAAGACATTTATTAGTATGTGGTTCCAGGAAGCCAAGCACATGATAACGATATCTTTTCAGCATCTGATATGACTGCTCTTACTGGTGGGGATTCTCTGTTATTACAGGACCAGACAGCATAAACTAGACAGTCCTATGCCTCACTTTTGCTTTTTATGAATTCACTAATGCAATCATGGGAGCCTGATCCTCATGATCTCATCCAAATCATTCTAAAGTTCCCACCTCAGAATATCATTAGCATATGACTTTGGAAATTAAAATTCAACAGGGCTGTATTTTATTTCCATGCATGATTTCAGGAAGGTCATAATACACCTAAAGCATACATAAGCATTTCCTTCACTTTCTGTCCAGTCTGTCTCCTCCAGTGGCTGGTTATATATTTTATAGAATAGATCAGAACAACCACAGTCATGAGGAGACTTTTCTCAATTCTCTGCTGTTTTTCTATCATCCTGTAAATTATGATGTTGAGACAATGATTTTACCATCTGTATCTGTTCCCTCCCTTTCTCTGAGGCTCACAGTGCAGGTCGTTGATATTACAAGATCTGAAATGCTTTGCAGAACATCCCATTTCACTGCATTCAACCCCAGGATTTCCGGTCCTGCTGCATTGTAGAGCCTTTCCAAATCTGATACTGTGACTTGTGACATTAGTGCTCAGGTATAAACGGGGCACAACACATTTTGCCTTTTTTGCAATTTACATCCCATCAGTCATTATTTATAAAATGCCATAATTTATACTATACATATCAGATCACACTCATACACCAAAAAAAAGCCCTCAAAAAACTACCACCACCACCACCACCACCATTTGTAACATACTGAAGACAAAGTATCTTAAGGTGCTAAACTCTTTTTGGAACCATTTGAAAGCAACTAGCGCTGGCTTAGAGACCTGAAATAGTTTTCAGATACAGAATCCTCAAATTTTGTTGTTTTCTGATGAGGTGCTTGGAAAACTTGGGAAGAAATTTCTGTGTACATTTTGTAGATAAATTCAAGTCAGTATATATTTATAATTATTATAAGAAAACTTTTTCTTTAGAAATGTCCTCTTGGGAGACAGGCGGGAGCCCTCTTGGCTGAACACAGCTTAGAATGATGGAGCAGGTGGGCTGTCAAGATTTCACAACATTCTTAGGATAATCCAGGCTTCAAGCACTTCGTAAACATAACCACAACAGTATTCAAGCTCTCCTTTGGACAAAGTGGTAGGTTTATTTCAACAATACACTGCACAATTTGGAAGGCAGAACCATGTCAAAGCTTGTTCTTTGCCGTTGTTCAGAGGTTATCTGCAGAGGTGAACACTAAACAGACAGGGGCATGCTGGTAATGGAAATTTGATGAAAGACTGAGGAGGGTGAAGAAACTACAACCTAAGAAAGACCCAAGCCGTGGTCCCCTGATGAGCTCACTGGATGTTGCACTTGATACCAGAGCTGGATCATCAGGCTGGGGTGTAGCCCAGAAACATGCTGATGGCCCCTGCTTCTTGTGTGAGTCTCCATTACCCTGTAGTTTGAAACACACTGCGGTAGAGGAAAGGGACTGTGACTATGTGCTTATGTAAGTGCCGAATTGAGAAAATGAGGCCACAGTAGGAACGCTGCAGCCAGGTGGGACGAGGGTTTCACCTGAGGTTTCTGAGCGGACCACCAAGGCATGGTTTTAGCAGGGCAACTATAATCGTTTAGATTGTTTATGAAGCTGAGGTTGAGAATGAAGAGAGAAGGCTTTTGCTGATGATCTCAAAGGTAAAGGCTAAAACAGCCTAGCCTCTGAGGATCTGCGGGAACACTGGACTTGGGGTCCTGTAGGAAAAGAAGCTCCAGGGCAGCTTTCTGAAAGAAGCCAGGTCCATTGGGGACTGGTGCCTCAAGCTCACCTGCTACCTGTGGGCCACACTTCCCTCAGTCTAATCATCCGGAATTCCGCTATCACTTAGGGCACATGAGTGTATAGTGGCTAGGATGGAACCCTCCTCACCCAGGAACTCAACAGGCAAGGCAGAGTCCCATCGTCTAAAGTGAGGCAATTGGTCACCCACCCAGGCCCTGTAAAAGGCAAGAGCAAACTAGGTTTCTGTTCCTGAGACCAACAGGTTTTGTCGAGGTATAAAAGCAGAGGATTTCTTTGTAGAGAGTCCTCGGAGGGCTTTGGCTCAGCCAGAGGAGGGAAACTTCTCTGGGACAACCTGGCTCAGATTTCTCAAAACCTGTGACAGACCGTGACTAGGGTTCAGGCTGGGAAAGCCTCCTGGAGGACAGCGCTGGGGGGCGGTATGTCGCAGATAAGTGCTGCAGCCCTGAGGAGTAGGGTCACAGCGGCCTGGCTTGCTTGTGTGTTCAAACTCCAGCAGCCTCTGAGGTTTGCGACTCTGACCTTAGTCTCCAGCCCCAGTGGGAAGGACCTTATGAGTGTGAGAACCTGCCTCTCAGCCCTCTGCACACTTAGCTGGTCATGGAGCCCCCTGGATCTTAGTGTCTGTTCACAGATGGTCCTTGGCTAGCCTTCCAGTGCTGACTTTTTGATGACACCAAAGTGATGCATACTGGAAAATGTACTTCAGATTTTTAGTTGGGCTGGGGAGATAGCTCATTGGGTAAAAGTGCTTGCCACCAAGCCTGAGTTCCATCCTGAGGACTCACATCGTGAAAGGAGAGACTACTCCAAGTTGATTCTCTCTCTCTCTCTCTCTCTCTCTCTCTCTATTGAGACATGAGACTCATCCTATTCTATTTGCTCTCTCTCTCTCTCTCTCTCTCTCTCCCTCCCTCCCTCCCTCCCTCCCTCCCTCTCTCTGTCTCTCTTTCTCTGTCACACACACACACACACACACACACACACACACACACACACTAAATAAAAGTAAAGAAAATTAAAAATTTGAATTTGGATCTTTTACTCGCCTAGTAATATGTATCTTGGCCTATCTCATAAGATTGGGCAGCACAGAGTCCCGGCTCCCAGTCAGTCCTGTGAGCCTGAGAGGAAACCTCTGCACATGCTGTGCTGTGCAGTGCGCTTTTGTTGATTTAATTGATTTTATTCTTTTACAAGTTCATGCCTGTACACTATGCGTTCTGATGTCTCTCTTTCCCCTGTCCCATCCCATCAAGCCCTCTCCTCTCTACCAGTCCTTTTCCCAGATTCCCGACTGTTCATTTTCTTTTGTCACCCATTTGGTTTTTAATGGCTTTAGCAGTTTTGAGAAGTATCAACCAGTATTTTGTAGACTGCCCCTCAGTTCGGGCTTACTGGTGTGTTTCCCATGATTGGACTGCTGTTACAGACTTCTGAGAGAATTTTCGTAAAAGTAACCCGAGTGTCACTGCTACTCACAGCCCCGAGGGACTTAGGCTGAGCTTGCCTTGGGATGCTGATGCTGCCATGGGTCTCCTCCCTGAGGTCCTGGGTAAGTTGGTAGAAACCAGGATGGGACCTTGGAATGGAAAAAAAAGATTACGTAAAATCAAAGAACATCTAAGTAAAGTACTAATCTTATTTAACTGGCATGCTGATGACGGACAACAAACAACCACTCACATAAAGCAATAGGAAAAAATGGATACAAGTATTAAAAACAATCTCTCTCTTCTCTCTGTGATGCTCATGCAATTTACAACTTTTAAATTCTGTTATGTAAGCATACAAATACACACATGCATGCATTCACTGCTGTTTTCACTCTACCATCTATTGTCTCATGTTGCCTTTTCACACTTGTTCATCTCTCTTGGCAATACTGAATTTAAGATTCCTTCGTTTTCTTATATGTGCTGATAGCTC